TCTCTACGATAGAATCAATTGTTTTTCAATTTTAAATTTTTACTCATAGATCGTATTGGGGCATTATTTTCGATAAATAATAAATTAAATTGATTAAAAAGTCAAACCTCTTGTATGTGTTAGTTTTTGTTGATTGTAAATGATTAAAATTTTATGTCAAATAATAATACATTGCATCAACTGTACTAAATAAAAATAAATCTAAAAAAGTTTAAAATGAAGGTTGGCGTTGACCGTTTGACGTTTCTTGATATTTTATACCCATTGTCATTATTGTCATTATCAATTGTTATTTATGTGTACAAGAATACATATTTCTTCTGTCATATCTACGTTAAGTACATTGTGTTAGTTTTGGTAGAGCTTTTGTTACTTTCGTTCAAAATGCCACATCAGTTTTCGACCACAGAATATGCAGACATAATATTTGTTTATGGATTCTGTAATGGGAATGGTAGGGCTGCTAGTAGAGAATATCGCAGGAGATTTCCTAATCGTCGAACTCCCAGTCATCCAACATTTGGGTCAGTTTTTAATTATTTGCGAGAAAATGGCACTTTTCCTAGTGGAACAACAGAGCGACATGTAGATGAAGCGCAGGAAGATGACATTATGGACGCCGTTACTATGAACCCTACAATAAGCACTAGACAAGTAAGTCGAGAACTCAATGTTACTCAATCAAAAGTAAGTAGAGTCTTACAAAAAAATAATCTATACCCATATCACATTCAAATGGTTCAGCGACTACATGCTGGAGATGAGATCGATAGGTTGGAATTTTGTAGATGGATTAACAATAATCGACCAACGCTATACAGGACACTATTTACAGATGAAGCCCAATTTACCAGAGACGGGATAAATAATTCACGAAATTCACATGTGTGGGCAGAAGAAAATCCCCATGCTATTCGAGAACGTCGTTCTCAGTTAAGGTTTTCGGTTAACGTGTGGATTGGTGTCATAAATAACCAATTAGTAGGTCCTCACTTTTTTGATGGTCCTTTAACAGGGCAGGTCTATTTGAACTTTCTACAAAATATTTTGCCGAATTTGCTTGCCAACGCGAACGTTGCTATCCGAGGGATGTATTTTCAGCATGATGGGGCACCCCCACACTTTTTACTGGCAGTGAGACAACATCTCAATAATGTTTATGGCAACAGGTGGATAGGACGTGCAGGTCCTATTTCGTGGCCTTCAAGATCCCCTGATTTCAATCCCGTTGATTACCATATTTGGGGACGATTGAAGCAACTAGTTTACGCAGTGAATATTAATAACCGACAACAATTAATTGATAGAATTATACATTGTTGTAATACTATTAGAAACGATCCCCAGAGTATCCGTAATTCAATACGTCAATTAACAATTCGGCAACAAAAATGTGTACAGGCTGCAGGGTTCCATTTCGAAAATCTATTTTGAATTATTTTTATTTTGTTACCATTATTGTATCTTTTCCAGTTCTAATTTATGGGTTTATCATAACTATGTACATATTTTTAGTTTTTTTTTTAAATTGTTCTTCGTTATTGTTAGTAGTTACTGTTTTTTGTTGTGCAGTGACTCAGTTTATCATTTCAATTAAAATGTTTGAAATTTATAACATTTGTTTAAATTAATTACCTTATAATTTGATACTTCATTATGGTTGTTCTATTTTTGGTAAGATTTGATCGTTCACTAAAAATTTAATAAAAGTGCGACAACATTGTCGCATATGTCGTTTTCATTGGCTATTTATGTAGTTTGAAAATCACTTATTGCATTTTAAAAAAATATATATACAGGGTGTAATATTTAATACGAATCCCTAAATTAATTTTTCCAAAGCCAGTCCTGGAATTTTTTAGTTTAGCTAATACCAGTCGAATGCTTGATAGTAGTGTACTGTATCATGCAAAAATTAAAAAAATCAAATGAGCCGTATAAACACTACAGTAAAATGAAATAAATGGTCAATTACACAAATCACCCTGTTAATTAATAAAGAAGAGGAGTTGACATTTTTTAGTGGCCACATGATATGCTCCCTGAGGGACTCTACATATGGTAGAAGTATGTAAAGTTCCTCATGACTCACCCTGTATATAATTAATTTGACTAGACTCATTAAAAATATGTTTTTACGATTGAATACTCGTGTTGAAAATTTTTTTAAAATGTAATAATTGTTTTTCAGTTCATTGATAAAATGACTCGTCTTATTTTTTATAGACTTTATCGTATAATACGTACTCGATTTAGTAAAAAATTGTATTTTACAGTGATTCTGATAAGAAGTTTAATTATATGAATGATAGATTATTTGATCTGAACATCACTACATAACGAGTAAACAAGTTCTTGTGGCCTTCCAGAACACCTAACATTAAAATGAAAAAGACAGCAAATATTTGATTTCACGCAAACAGCGCCTATGTATCTGTTGATACGTATTTCACCTAAAAGGTCTCATCAGAACAGTTATTCATAGGTGTTCTCAACGTGAAAAATCAATATTTTTTGTCTTTTAAGAAGAAACACTAAAATGGCTTCAATACGGACGCAATAGCGACATCTAATAGATGAATAATAATTAGAAGGCTCAGATTATAAGCAGAAATCTGAATTGTTTCAAAACTAATTTACGGATTTTATTATTCTGATTTTTCATTACGGATTTACTATGTGTCTAAGTATTCGTCTTTCAAAGCGGCCTAACAGTTCTTCGTCGCTTTTTATCATAGTCCATGTCTCTGACGCGTATGTCAGGACAGGTTTAATAAGAGTTTCATATATTAGTATCTTGGTTTTTCTGCTAATTATGTGTGATGTTAAGAACTGCTTTAGTCCAAAGTAAGCTCTGTTCGCCAGGTATATTCTTCTCTTAATTTCTACGCTTACTAGGTTGCTGTTATTTAGTTGTGTTCCAAGATATATAAACTCCGAGACCCCTTCGAATGTGTGTGCTTCTGTCACCAGATCTTGTGGTGCCGCTATTTGTGTGCTGTTCGTGACCTTCATGTATTTTGTTTTGGATACGTTAACCTGCAGTCCCATTGTCTTCGCGGCTTTTTCTAATGTTTCAAAAGCCTGTATCAGGTCTCGTTTTGTCCGTGTTACTATGTCAATGTCATCTGCGTAGGCCAATATCTGTACACTTCTATTGATGATCGTACCTCTGGTTGTTATGCCCGATTTCTCTATGGCTCTTTCTAGCGCGATGTTAAACAATAGACACGATAGACTGTCTCCTGGCGTAATCCAGTATGTGTTTGAAAAGACCTTGACACTCTGTTTTGTACCTTGACTTTGCACTCAACTTTCGAAAGAGTTGCCTTTACCAATGTTATTAGATGCGACGGAATATCTAGTTCTGCCATGGCATTATAAAGTGCGCTTCTGTCTACACTGTCATAAGCACTTTTAAAATCTATGAAGAGGTGATGGGTATCAATTCCATATTCATATGTCTTTTCTAAGGTTTGTCTGAGAAGGAAAATCTGATCAATTGTTGACCTTTCTTTTCGGAATCCACATTGGTATTTGCCTATTTTTTCTTCAGTATATACTAGTAAACGATCATAAAGTATATAAGCCAGTACTTTGTAAGCCGTATTTAGGAGGGTAATGCCTCGATAGTTGTCACATATTAGTGGATCCCCTTTCTTGTGAATAGGTATTATAATACCTACATTCCAACTGTCTGGGAGTTTTCCTTCTCTCCAAATGGATGCAACAAGTTTTATTATGTATTTTTTTAGGGCGTTTGCTCCATACTTGAACAGCTCAGGGGGTATACCATCTTCTCCAGGGGATTTGTTGTTTTTTAACCTTTTTATTGCCTTGGCAACTTCTTCTTCTGTTGGTATATTATTTTTCTCCTCTCATCGTTTACGTCTCCACTGTGGTCATTTATGTCAGTCACTTCTTGGTTGCCTATATTTAATTTCTCAGCAAAATTCTCAGGAACATCAAAAATCAAAAATATTTCCATAAGCTTCATAGCTACCTCACTAGCCATTTATTTTTCAGTGTACGGAGGTTCAAAAATTTTGGAGCATTATTTTGGAAATTGTCCTCGAATATTAAAATCTTGAGAAATAATAGGTCGTAGAAAATAGGACTTATTTTGATTCATTTTTTATCATTTTAACTCACATCTCTTAAACAGAACAGAACAGAAACAGTGGTTGCCACCATATTGTAAACAATGTGCTGAATCACTTTTGAATGTTATCATAAAGATTCGACTTGATTGCTAGTCGTTCGGTTGAATGGCGTCGTTCCAATCAAACGACTATTTTCCAACTAGTTAACTGGTGCTACTAGCAGTGCCGCGGTGGTTCAGAAAACAAATTACGTCAATGATATGGCGGTTTTTCAATCAGCCACGTCGCCTTTTTAATTGCTTAAAAATTCGACAAAATAACTAGCAGTCTGATTCAATTGCGTTATTCAATAAAAGGGCTAGCTGTTTAATCGAACGGCTAATTTAACCATCTGACTGTGACATATATGTAAATATACCCATCTGGTATTAAAGAATACGAACGAGAACTACTTAAAAACCGTTAAGGAAAGAAAAAATTCTCACAAAGAAGCACATACTGCATTCCAAAACTAATTTTGTAAGGAAATATACAGGAGAGCAGATACCCAGGAAGAAAACAATATAATGGACAAAGATTTAGCCACCACATTTCGAAGAGCCAAAAACGGAACTGATATAGAAGGCCTAAATTAAAAAGAGATGTCCCAGTAGACTGTTCGTGAAAGTTCCCTTTAGACACGGAATTGAGATTTGGATATGGTACAATATGTCGTTGGTTTATGTATTACAATTCCCTTGATCCCTGCTTAGCTGAAATACCATCATCACGTCATATCACACCACGATGGAGTTTACAGTATCTGTTAAGAGACTCATTGCTTGTATTGTATGTTTTTCTTAGGATGTTATTTTTATTTCGGTTACGGTTAGATACTAAGTTTCTTCCTTCTTCCAGGATATGGCCAGCAGTTCTACGACAAGCCACTTACGGTACCATTAAATTCGGAACTTACTATACTTTGAAGAGGATCATAGTTAATTATAACGACGGGAAGGAAAGTGTCACGGCGAATGTTTTCTGTGCAGTAACAGCGGGAGCGATTTCGAGTGCCATTGCCAACCCCACGGATGTACTGAAGGTTCGCATGCAGGTGGCCGGTACTCACGGCAGTACGAACATAGGATTGGTGGACTGTTTCAGAGACGTGTATACTCATGAAGGAATCTCAGGATTGTGGAGGGTGAGTTTTTTATATTGGCATATTGTTTGTAGTGCATTAATAGTATAAAATTTGATTACACTTACTAGGTTAAATATTCTAGGAAAAGACAAAAACATCTTGTCAGCAGGAAATAACAGTCTTTTGAAATTCATATTGAATTATCTAGGTATTGTTGAGTCTTATTTAGTATTATTATTATAAATTGAATTTTGAATTAGTGAGTCAGTAACCTTATTTCCCATATTTGGTTACTGCGATTGTTTTTTCCAAAAAAATGCTTTGGGGGTTTAGTCTTTGCAATATAGGAACCATTTTACGAAGTGTGTGGCCGATCAATCTACTCTCTGGACTTTGTTTCATTCTCTATCCCCTTCAGTTCGGTCAGATGTAGCAGATCTTCGTTTCTGATGATTATAGGCAAAAAATACGGGCAATTCTTCGTAGGCATTTGTTAACAAGGACACGACCTTGTATATAAGTAACGGGTGTTTGTTACTTTTCACGTTTCACACCCTTAGAATGTAGGCTGCTGATTATGTTCAAAAATAGGGCTAACAGGATCTACAACGTTGGAGGTAGTGTTTATTTTCAATATTTTTCAACATATATTTAAATCTTTGTTTTGAGTAATTCTTAAATACAAATTTCTTTATAACATTAGTACATTATAGTTCACTTCAAGAGTATTATCTGAAATTTTGGTACAAAAATATTAAAAATTAAGAAAATGACAGCTAATTTTCTAATTACGTAGAATCTGTTTTTCTAGTATTGAAAGACTTTTAATGTTCTACTATACATTTGATAAAAGTTCTACCAGTTTGACCGATGTAAGTTTTTTGGCAGTTGCCACATTTAAGTTTGTATACAACGCTGTGTAATTGCATTTTATTTTGGGTCTTGTTGTTCTTAATATATTTGCCCAAGTCGTTGTTTGTTCTAAAAGTCCTCCGTTCGGCTCGCGGAGATAAGAATACGGCCGAGGCCAGAAGACCCTGCCTGTCGTAAGAGGCGACTTATGGGTAGGTAATGAGAGGTGGAGAGCCGTCGTTTGAGGTGTCGGGTCTGTAGAAACGCACTCGAGATGCATAGTCATCTCGGTCACCGGTCTACACTCCTAGTATCCGAGACGAGCATCTCGTGGGACCACTCTACTCTCATTCCACAAGAGCCAGGTGAGGTTGAACGAGCTGGGCCCGTAAATACCTCCCACGGCCTTACACCACCGAGGGTGGTGTCGGTGTCCCGGCACGTACCTACCTGGAATGATTTAAGAGTGGTAGAGGAGTGATCCTCGGCGGTGACCTGTCTACGTGCGAGGTGGAATTCCTCCGCCTGCGTCATCTTTCCGCCCCGGGGGGGATCTCCGGACGGGTGACGTACTCGCAACACAGGTACTACGGGTAAGGTGGAGCCCCACGATGTTTCGGCATCGTGCCGCCTTAGTTGGTGTCGGACTCGTAGGGGCAGTGGTGTCGCTTATGGTCGTATGCCGAAAGGCCAGGAAGACCAGGGTCCAGCCAGTTTTATAATTGAAGGTTCACGAACTTGTCCATGTTCTAAAAGCCGGTGTTATTCCTTTTTTATGTGTTTGGCTATTTTTGTCCTTGCTATCTTGCCTGTCTATGTAATCGAGCAGAAGGTACTGGGTTTTTTCTCGGTGGTGGAAATACTAATTTCAGGGCTTTCTTATGTACTATTTGATTTAAAATTTTATTTATTGTATGTTCGTTGTACTCATTGTTTACTGCTAGTTGCTTAATGATATTCAATTCTATCCCGAAGTTGTTTTTTGACATGGAGATTTCTATTAATCTATGGAACATGCTATAGTAGGCTACCAGCTTATGTTGTATGGCATGATGAATTGTATATAGTCGTGTCAGTATGGGTAAGTTTATGAAATACGGAGAATTCATGTTTGGTTTTTATGTCTGATAATTTTTAAATCTAGAAAATTTATGTATTGATTCTGTTATATTTGTGAATTATGAATTTAATATGACCTTGGAATAAATTTCTCTGAAAAATAAACACCATTCTAGTCGACTATCCAAAAGACGATTCACATTGTTTAACCCTGTACAGTCTTTTCTTATTATATTGACGATTCTAACAACAATGACAAAGTTAGTTGCGCTGTCTTCGAAAAATATCATCTATTAAATGCTCTAAATGCAATAAATTCGCTTAATTCGAAAGTTGTCGGGTCGAAAAATGTATATTTTATTTGTCCCTTAAATTAACCTAACCTAACCTAACAAATTATCGAATATTCCCGGGTGTATAAAGAACGGTTTGCAGATATACTAGCTTAATTAAGCAGGTATACGATTTTTTAATTATAGCCACAAGCGACTCTTTTGGAATCATTAGAAAATTTTACTTCTTTATTTTTTATTTTAAACCCACGTCATTTTTACCCTAGACTTCAACTTGTAAAGGGGAAATGTTCAGGAATCTAAAATTAATAATTTTAGGCAAAAATCAAAGAGTATGTTTATACAACTTCGTTATCTGCTAATTCCTACTTCTTATCTTTAGTAGTTTTAAATCTTTGCGTATTTCTTATCAGCTTAAATGGTTAAATATAATATATTATAAATAATTCATTTTGAGCTTTGTATTTTTAAGTACTGGCGTGATTTTTATGACTAGGATGTTATAGATTAAAAGAACGTGATGGATATACGTACATTACAAATACAATTTTTGACAGTTTAAGAAATAACTGGTTAATTAAACTGCCTGACATATTTCAAATTTTATATTTACAAATTTTTAAATAATATCAATTACTGTATCATATTTTCTTGTCATCTACTTTCATTTCAGGACAAATACCACCATATTTGTTATACTTTTTCCAAAGTCAATTTTCCAAGTGGCGGCTTTTGAGCTTCTTTGATGCAAATGCCGACCATTGGCGTGGAAATTAAGAAAAGGGATCAGTTCATCAAACGCATATTTCAAGAAAAATCATAATTTTTATTAATTTTTACATAATTATATTCAGGAAAATTTTTTTTACAGAACAATTTTTTAAACAAATTCAAAATATCACCTTTTGTGCTCCAAAAAATATTTTTTAGGTTTTTGGATGACTCTAAATAAGATCTATGTCATTTTTCTCAAAAGTTAATAGTTTTGGAGATATAGGCGATTTAAAATCCGAAAAATGCGATACCTAATATGCATTTTCGAGGCTTGAAAAATATGTAAATGAGTATTTTTGAGATTCAAGAGTATTTAAACTAAAGTCTCGACATTGATTTTGGTGAGAAATTGGGGTAATATTTTCCGTAGCAGAAAAAGGAGATCTTTTGAATTTGAATTGTTTCCTGCAAAAATGTCCGGCACCCTTCAACCTTCGATTTGTTTAAACGCGGTATTTTTGAATAGGAATCTTCAAAGGACAGAATCAGTTTTTTTTTTCAAATGTGAGCGGGCTCACAACATCTAATAAATAACAAATTAATTCTTTCAAATTAAAGCTTGTTAATTTTAGTGATTTATAAGAATATTGGACTTATTATTTAGTTTTTACATAAACCAGGGTCACCTCGTGAACAGGGTGTATTTAATGCACACTTGTTTGTGTTGTCAACCCAGCCGTACTTGACAACATCATGCGTATCGAACCAGGTTTCATCTAAATAGATTATGTTTCTGTTTGAATTACGATACTGTTTTATTTTACTCAAATACTCTCGTCGAAGTTCAACAATACGCCGAGATTCCATTATTACCATTCGATTATCTAATTTCTTATATTTAAATCCACAACTTATCAAAATCTCGCGCAGTGTTTCCAAAGATGTATAATTATATTCAGGGAAATCTCTCAATTTTTCACGAATCAGTTCTAAAGTAGGCACTCTATTTTCTTTGTAAAAATTGTAAACTGTTCGCTGAATAACGTCTTTTGCAGCAGTGTCAATCCTACCCAATTTTTTATTTGGTCGCTTTCGTTTTAAGGAATGATCTGTAACAATGCCTAATTTAATAATTGTATATATCGTCTTATACCCGATTTTTGTTAATACATGAATTCTCGAAACAATTGCATTATCAGCCATCAAAATATTTTCTTTTTTCAAACACTCATACATATTTAAAACTATTCTTTGGGATTGTACGTGCAAATCTTTATTTTTTAATTCGGGGCTGTCATTAACATAATTGTCATTATCTATTGATAACACAGAAGTTGATGCATCTTGATCATTCGTATCAAATGGTCTCCAAAATGCCATCCTAGAAAAATATAATATTACTTACCTTATTATCCGCCTCTGATAGCTGCTTGCAAAATGAACTATTTAGGGTGTCATATAGCCAGACAAACAGGTGTTCCATCAAGATTTATTGCGATGCGCTTCGCTGTTGCCAAGTTTAAAATTATTGAATGTAACTTTAATACCATAATTAATATATCTGCAATTTTTCATGTTTCCAGGTAAGGTATAAAATCAATAAAATTTGGAAAAAAATAATACAATTCTTGAAACCGTTTTTCAGAACTTGGATTCTTAAAAGTTGTCTGATTTCTTAAAAGTCGATCATTATATCTATAAGAGTATTACCGCTAAATTCACCAACATGGCAACGTCGATATAGACCGAACATCGAAATCACCTCGAAATTCTGTCCAGACTACAATGTTGCCGATATTCGAAAATTACTTAGAGTATAAGTTATATATACAAAGTTCACAGTTGCTTTAATTCATTAGTGAAGAGTCCATGGAAATATTAGTACCTAGTTAATTAATTTATATAGATATATTTTTTGAGAATATGTTCATATTATTTTTTAAGAGTGTCGTTCGTTGACTAGCAATTGAATAATAACGAATAGAGAATAGAGAATATTTTTTAAATATAACCTTAGGAATTTTAGGAAATATATCTGACAACCTTGATTTGAAAGGCGGTCTCTTTGAAATCAGAGTGAGGCATATTTATGTTGGAAAATTATTAGTGGATGTACTATAGATACCGTTTTTTTATCAATGCATTTTTCTTATCAGCTAGAAACATATACCGTTAGATTTTTTTTATCTTTCTCTCGATTACATTTGAATACATCTTCTAATTTGTCATTCCTATTCAGTCACTAGTTAAATTCCTAGACTATGTCCATGGGCTGTCTCTATAATTTGCTTAACAGTGTGAATAGCAGAGGCGTGCGGTCCATTGAAGCGGGGAACAGTTTCTTAAATAGCCGCACTTATTCCGTTCAAACGTGGCTCTGGGATTAATGACCTCATTCAGGAGTCGTGTTGAATTACGCGAGAATTTGGTAAGCAGACAGCGCTTTCTCGGCCGCCTTCCGTCTTTATTTATTTAGTAGCAGTCGATGTATGATCGGTGCAGTGTAATGAAAGTGGCGATCAACAAAAATGTCAGTCCGTTTCTTAACAAATATCTGCAGAACCGATATTTGTTGGGACTAGAGAGGTTCAAACACAATCTAAATGTAATTAGAGGGAAAATATCACAAGTTAACATAATAACCAAGACGTTGGCGTTGGCGCTGGCGTTCGCCGTTGACCTTGGCGATGGCTCTCGCTGATTGCATTTATAAACTTTCGGTTGGCGTTGGCGTTAAAGATCAAATCTAAATTTCTAACCTTACATTTTTGATTTTGTCTTATTAATTTTTGCTTGAAAATTAATACAATGGAAAATGAAAATGATTGGCCTTTGTTAGGTGCAGTGGCACTGATACTTTGTATTCGAGCAGCACTGAGACTTCGAAATAAAAGACAACGTTGATACAAACGGAGGCCCATTAACCAGATGCCCATATGTGTCTAAAAAAGATACAGTTTTTTATTGCGTTCTTTGATCGTGACTCCAACCACAGAAGGGTTAGTATATTTTGTGCTACAACTACCAACGTCAAAAGATAAAGTTGGTTCATCTTGAACGGAACCGAACGCCAACGCCAGCGGCGAACGATGTTTATAAATAGACATACGAGTTTCCCATTTGACCATGTTGTAACGCGAACGTCAGCGCCATCACAACGCCAACGTAAAGTTGAAGTTGGGCTGGATCATCGGGCTTCGGGTTAAAAAATTGCAATCTTCTAAGCTTGGCTTTTCAAAACTTCACTAAAAATACGATGGCCTCTTATATCGTTGTAACACCTTACAAATCTTCCATTTAGGACATAATACAACACATATAACTTTCCACAAACAAGATCTGTCGGCTTTCTGAAGATTACACGCCGAGCTCTTAGCTGCCACCACACTACACATTTTCTAATGACAAATGACAAAAAAAAAACGAAAAAACATTACGAATTTGAAGAACAATTCGGACTCCAATAAAACTATAAACGCTTTTGACAGCGGTTTATATTCTCGAGCCGACTTAAGAAGGAATTGAAAACATATTTGGGTTTTAATACGTACGAATAGGAAACTGAAATGCATTAAAATACTCTTCGATTTTTTAAACATATATGAGGGGATTTCAATATATTACATATACAGGGGATTCCAATATACACCAAAAAAATCAATGAATTGCAAATGCTACAATACCACTGCTCGAAAATCAAGACGCTGCCTCTTAGAATTTTTTACAATTTATTAGACCTCGTTGGAATTAATTCCATAGTTCTATGTAGAGATAGTCATGCCAGAGAAAAGGAATTAATACCGAACACGTTAATAACGGCTCGGAATTAAAATTTTGTCAAAAGAACTTAGAGCTGTTATAAAAAAAAATTGCATATTGAGCCTGAAGTACCTAATGTAGACCAAAGGCAAACTTCTTCCGGGAGATGGCCTTTTTGTACACGCAAACAAGACAGAAAATCGAGGATACTGTGCAAGAAGTGCAAAAAATACATATGTCTGAACCATCAGTCAAAAGTGTGCCCAGATTGCATTAACTAATGTATTTTTAATAATATGAAACCATTGTATACAACAGCTTTGTACTTTTCTAAATATATTTGATTTTTTGCAAACACGTTTTACATTTGGGGTACACCTGTATCCCAGGTAGTAAAATATGTCAATTTTTGATGGGTAGTAATGCAGGGTTAAATGTAAATTTTTAGAGTTTACTTTAATAATTAAGTATAAACAATTGAACTAAATGCTTATTTTCAGCTTTAAATTGCAATAACTTTTTTGTTTATAAACATTCTTTAATTTAGAAAATCTCATTTGAAGACTCAATATTTTCAAGTCGTCTGTTGAACCTTTTCATCTAAAGTGCATAGTTTTTTCATAGTATTGACATATGGTAATAATGGTAATAAAAAACCACGACGCAATCAAAATTTCGATTGTACCCCTTTTCTTTCAACTTTCTCAGATATTCCAGTTGAAAAATTGTTCCCAGTAATTTTTCCTGGGACATGTGTAATTCGTTTTTAAGCAGCATGTAAATGTGATATTTATGTCACTTTAGAAGAATTATAAATTAATATTAATTAGCTCCCATTTATCCAAATATGGTCTAAAATCTTAAGTTCATGTGTATACACAGGAATTTTGTCTTATATATCAAGGACACTTATACTTATTCACAAGGGCAAATATATCACAAACTCCACTATGGAAGATTCCATGTTTTTTACTTATATCTTGCGAAGAGTCAGTTTTGTTTGTACATTTTTATCATATAATGTCAGAGACCAATAATAATTGACCAAGAACTTGATCCTTTTCGTAAATAATTTGTTGTTATTCATACTTCAGTCGTCGATATACCTATTTTCAAAACATTAGGAAATCCAAAATACCGATATCTTCCTTACAATGTAATAAACAATGTTGCTTGGTTAGTAACAACGTGGTTTTGTAGTAAACACCTATAACGTGTTAGTTATTGCGTCAAAACAAAAATATTTTTCTAATAGATAACCCAGATTTTTGCCCAAAAGGAAAATGTGTAACGTTTTCTGGCAAGGTTCTTTTTATAGGTCATTTATTGTCGTAGCGTGTATTTTTTCGTAATCATAAACCTGGTTTTTATTATTTAGTAAATATTCTTGGTCGTAAATTTGTTTCTGTAGGAATAATTCTATAAAAAACTTGTGACATTTATTACAAATTATATTGGCACAAAATTGGCTAATACGAGGATCATTCGATATCTTTATAATCTAAGATTTTTATTTTATTTTTCATTAGAGTTTTTACTTACGTAATATACTTTTTACAATATTATAAATTAGCAGTGCCTTGCAAAATACCTTAAATAAAATTCTTTCGGGTTTGGTAACAAATGGTAATCGTCAGTAACGAGATTTGGAGAGTAAAATGATTGAGATACTATAATTCAACAAGAAATTGGGGAACCTTTTCTCATAGATGAAACATATTAACCCTTCACTGCATGATTTTTATTTTTCGTTACAAAAAAGTTTGCAGACTGGATTTTCGTTATTTTTACGGAAAAAAATAATAAAAAAATTCTGAACAACTATTTTTTTATTTTGGAAAAATATAAGTGTTGTTTATGAACAACATTATGCAAATAAGGATATACTTAAAACAATATTTAGGAAAAATGAAAATTTTTAAAGCAGTTCTTCGTTTTAGTGAAGCAAAGTGTTACACTACTTTTTTCGCACAACACATGTGTAAAGCCATTGGACTGTGGAAATTTGCACCTTATTTGTTTTTCGGACCATACAGGTCAATGGTGAATTTCCTTCATTCAGTTACTTGGATCACACTGGGGTTTTACACAAAAATTTTGGGGGTGGAATCTAGACTTCACTGGAATTTCTGGGGATAGAACTGGGCTTAAACTCTCTGCCACAGGAACAAAAACTGCATATCACACTGCGAATTATTGAGGTTGGAAGTTGGGCATTGGAACACAAACTTGGAAACTCTTTTGTTAATAAATGAGGTTATCTTTTCAAAACCTCACTTAGACTGCAAGTACACATTGAACAATGAACTGCCACCAAACTACTTATTTTCCATAACATAAGACGAAGAACAAAAGGACATTACAAATTTGATGAAAATTTTGGACCCACACTGTAAGCAACTGCCTCTGACAGCGACCTAAGCGAGAGTGTCGCAATTCTCTTTCCGGCAAAACCTTCTCAGTGATCTAAATAAATGTTATTTGAAACGCAGAATATTAAGCGGCTTCGATCAAAGAAATACCAAAGAATAACGCATCTGTGAAATATAAACAAACTGTAAAATGTGTTTATATCAACTTCGGCGACGTAAAAAGAATGAAATACTATTTGGGTTTTAACTCGTACGATAGGAACAGAGAAACATGGAAAATATTCTTCGATATTTTAATACATATATGAGGAGATTTTAATTTAATACATATACGAGGGATTTCAATTTAATACATATACGAGAGGATTTCAATACATACCAAGATATTTACAAATGCTACAAAGATTCAACAGATATCGCAACCGCGGATAAGTGAAACCGCGGTTGATGAGTCCGCGGATAACGAGGGATTACTGTACTCATTACATCTGCTATCGCATGTACTTTTACTTGGCGTAATCCGATACAATAACTTGCAGTTTTTAATCATATTTGAGGCAGTAGCAGCTTTTGAATGTACACTCCATTTTGGACAAGGTTCATCATTTATGCTCATAAAAGAAACAATATGTGCTTATGTTTATTAAACAAAAAAAGATTTCTATTTTTACAATAACTTATTATGACTTTAACAATATATTATCTACAATATTTGTTTTAGGGCGTTAATCCGACAGCACAGAGAGCAGCTGTGATAGCGGCGATCGAATTGCCAGTTTACGATTTTTGTAAGAGTCATTTGATGAATCTTCTTGGTGATAAACCTATTAACCATTTTATGTAAGTATATTAACATAATTCCCTTCATCCAATATTCTTTCGCCTGTTTTAAAATACTCATCATTATTTTTTTAATTATTACAGATCTAGTCTTATTGCTAGTTTAGGAAGTGCTATTGGATCAACCCCCATTGATGTGGTTCGGGTAAGTAAAACATAATTCGTATGTTAGATCATCATTTTTCATACTTTAACTACATATTTATACAAGGTAAATATTGTCGAATGCTGGCTCCAAATCAATAAATAAGTACTTTGTTAAATTGAATGCTTAAGTCATATTTAGAATACCATGTGTCATTTTCTCTTTCAAAATTGAACTTTGCTTCTAAATAATTATCTTTTCATTTGTTTATTGCAGAACCAAATTATGTATATCTCTTATTGTTTCCATGGATTAGGTGATAAAACAGAAATCATACTTATAATTAAAATGTTCTTATTCAATGAATATACATTTTTCCATATCATCTAAAGTATATATTCTGAGAAAAAATTACAGTAATGAACATACTGTGTATTTTTACCTGATACCTTCTTGAATTTGACATTGTTTCATTGTCTAAGACAATTCTGTATATCGGAAGCAAACTGTCCTAAGTCCAATTTATCGATTTTACAGGAGAACGAATTAACGGTTTTCGGTGAATATTTGGAATTATTAGAGATATAAATAAATAATGAATAACCAGTTTTTTCTAAGCAATTAATAGTACAGGTAGAGTATTATAATCCACCAATTTCAAATTTTTGCAATATTCTAATTTTACAAAAAAAATGGACTTAGGACAGTATGCTTCTAAGTTGTATTTTTTTTTTCCGAAAACATTTTTATAATAAGTCACCTGTCCTTATTGACAATAAGTAAAACGAATATAGATATACTAATTTCAATTTATTAAGATTAAAAAAAGTTAAAACAGAAAGTAAAATAAACATGAACTAAAAATTTTAAAGTACGTATTAGCTTAAATAAATTTTATTGATCAACATCTCCTTCTGGATAATCGTTCCGATTTAGAGCATGTGGTAAGCTTCGATAGTATTCGTGAAACTCCGATGGTACAAAAGGCAATAAATCCATGAGGTCATTATATTTTGCTGTTGAAATAGGCACTAGCCTTTGATTTATTTGGTCCAGATCCATCGGTAAGGTAAGTTCGGTTCTTGTGTTTCTTCTCAAATCTACTTCCTCGAAATTCGTTGCTTGAAATGATGTTTTGTAGTACAGTATTCCTAACTGGTCTTTTCTATACTGCAAGTGAACTACTTTAGACAATAGGAACGGCTGTTTATTACGATTAATTTTTCGAGCAACGAAAGGTGCAGCATTTGAAGAACCCCTTGCAACGGTATACATTGGATCAAAAGATTTAAAGTCGGCCAATTCTAAGTTTATTACTTTAAATTTTGAGGAACAGTGACGGATAAGTTGCTGCCAATCCCACGGAGTTACAACTGTCATTGTAGGAGTTTTTTTTCGCTGTTTTTCTATTTGTGCATGAACGGTGTCAGCTTCCATGTGACTATGTCCTTTTAAAAGAAATTTTTGATCAATGGTTTTAAGCTGTGGATATTTATTTAGAATGAAATAAAAGCCCATTACGATGCTGCTGTTCTTATTTTGGCCAAAGCAATTATCAGACCAAAGCGTTATGTGCTCTATATTAGATCCAGGTAAGTTTAGATCTGCCCATTTTACCAAAGCTGATGCCAACTCATTCCCACCTCTCTTACCTTTTGATTCGTCCCACATCATACACCAGGCTGAATTATTTGAGGAATCAAAAATTGTATAATTTAAAGTCCAAAGCTTTCTTTTATAAAAAGTAAGCGAATTGGTCAACAACGGTGTAGGTAAACATTTTTGAAGATCTGCTGTGAGTACCTTATGTTTGCAATTTTCTTTAGTTTCATTTGTGTCTGAGGATTTGAGATTATACCTACGTTCTGCATCTTTCAGATGTAAATTTCTTTCATTGTTTATACGTTCTGCATCAGTGTCGTGTACTGCTGTCTTTAACTGTGCTAAAAATAAATCACACGTATCACAAGTGTCCACTTCTGGTGGTTTAAAAGTGAGATTAAATTTTTTATTAAAAATATCCCTATACAACCATAGTTTTGCTACATCGTCTAAATGAACGTGTTGTTCAAAGCAATATTCTTTATAGAGCGTATACATTTGCTGCACTGACAACTGAGGACCTAAATATGCTGTCTTTGATCTTTCTCGATTGTAGTGGCTTTCATATTTAGGAAATGAGGAAATATGTGATACAACGGAATCGATTACATGCTGCTGAGTTGTATTACTAGGTGTATGCTTACCTCTCTTGTCAGCCATAACTATGCCTCCTTCTTGGCGCTTTGCTAAAGCGGTCTTCACTACTGACTGCGATATGCCCAATGTATTCACAAACATGCACTTACACACTACAATTTTTACACCATTTACTGTTAAAGTATATACCAAGGTGTTTTTTCTTGCTTTTGATTCGTCTCCTAATCGCAATCTTTGTCTAGCTGTAGGCTTTGTTTCTATACAGGATAAAATGAACTGCCTTTTTACATTATAATCTTTTTCGTCATTCCAATAATAATTAAAAATCTCATCTCTCTTTTCTTCAGTTATTTTGGAATAACATTTCATACGACACGAACAAGCAGCTTTTTTCTTTCTTTCAGGCATCTCTTTTCCGCTTTTACTGAGATAGGATCTACCGGCAGCATACTCCCGTTTTCGCTTATTTACAATCCACTCGGAAACATGCCTTAAACGTTTCTTTCCAACTTGTTTTGTAACAGATTTTCTGGAAACTTTTCTTTTATTAACTTGCTTATTTTCTACAAGAACGTCTGGTTGTTCAACGTTATCTTCTGAATCATAATCAACATCATTAATAGGATTATAATCTTTATCTGCTATAGAATCATCAGAGTCGCTCAACAAAAGGTCATTTTCTAAGAGAGAAAACTGTTTTTCATACGTCTTCATTTTGGATGACATAGTATCTACATCTTGACCGATCTCAGTTACTTGCGAGGTACTAGGTTGGTTTTCTTTTGACGTATCTGAAAAAAAAATATATTAACCATAAAAATATATTTCTAAATCAGTTTTATATGAAGAAAATTTTTTTTAATTCCTTATTTTATCCTAAGAACTATAATATTAGTAAACGAATTACTTACCATCCATTATGGAGTCAAGCGCTAAAGATAATAAACGATGTCCTCGGCCACTCATATTTACAAATTATAAAAACTATTCACGAAATTATAAAAACTATTTTCGTCAATAACTACAAATTTTCAGAGTTTTTAAGATATAACCAAAAATAATAACCACGTGTTTTTCACTCAAAGCGCAACGAAACAATGAACGGAATTTAATGTTTGATTATGAGAGCGACGTTAATGTTCGGGGCTGTTCGTTTTACACGGACTTAAACTACTACTGGCGGTTTACATAGATAGAGGAATACTGTCCTAAGTCCAACTTAGGATTATATGCCTCTAAGGAGGTACGGACTTAAGACGATGTTATTTTAACTATTTTCTTTTTATATTTAAAATGGACTTAGTATTATATACCACTAAATAGATTGTAAAAATGTAAACAAACCTACATAAATAAGTCCAATACGTAAAAATTGGACTTAGGACAGTATGCTTCCGACATACAGAATTAAACCTACAAAATGGCTTAAAAACAATTTTGTAATAATTTTAAGATATTTGTCAATTTTGTCCTTTTTCCAATATAATCCCAGCTACTATGTGATGCTTTACCTCTTGTACATGTAATGCTAGTCCATCTCTGTATCTATAGAAAAGGACTTTTAAGCTTCTTATTTGGCACATTTTTTATATATAGATAATGAATATTGTTGAAGAATTCCTACAAGTTAATAGTTATCACAGTATTAAGATCTTCCAGCAATGAAAAATGTTTCCCCTGTTCCCTAGTATTACTGAACACATTTCACAAAATTCATGTATCCTGTACAGGTAACTAATATTGTTATATATGGATATTTCAATATTGTCATATAATATGTATATTTCTAGACCCGACTTATGAACCAAAGAAAACTTAAACGCTCCGGTAGTCAGTTGCCTAGTCACATTTATCGAGGAACGTTGGATTGCTTCGTGCAGACCTACAAAAACGAAGGCTTTTGGGCGTTCTACAAAGGATTCGTGCCAACGCTGTTCCGCATGGGACCGTGGAATATCATTTTCTTCCTCACCTATGAACAGCTCCAACACCTGTACTAAGTATTACTTGGGTATTAATTTTGTTGTTTTTATTCTTCAAGAAGACGAAATCTGTTGATAGTATTGTGATTTTAGTGCACCTTTTAAGATTTTAGTATGTTGAATTTATTCGATATAATGTATATGGCACATGTTACGAAAATAAACAATTTAATGAATATTATTTGTAGTTTTGTTGTTTTATTACCCACTAAACCCAATATATGGACCAGATTCTGTAAAAATTGGTAAATAGAAGTAAATAAAAAATCTTCAGCAGTTTTGTTAAAAATTCTCAAGGCTACAGATGCCTTACTTTAGTCGAAAGTATTAAAACAGGGCAGAAGATTAGGCACAAACGTTTAATAACAATTTAATAATTTAAAAAAACTTTTTAGTGTAGTAATAAAGAACACAAATTACTGATGAGTATTTATTTATTTATTGAAAGAGCAAAAAATTACATGAAGGAATCATACAAGAGAAAAAATTTCCTTCTGCAGGAAAACAGTGTTGCTGCTGGTACTTAAAATTTAAAAATAAGGAACAAATTCAGCCTCCGAGTTAAAATGCAAATATTAGAGATGGTCCCAATTATTCCTTTTGATGAATATCACGATAGTAATTGTATGCCGTAAATTGTGTTTTATGAACATTGCTGTCTTGTGATTATATAAGGCATGGTTCAGCACATACTAGGATAAATAAAAGACATATAAGATTTGATTTGACGTATAGTGCCGCTGCATATTCGCTTATACGTATTTCATCTTACCAGGACTCATCAGAGCGACTTTTTAGAAGGCCTGAACATGAAATCAAATATTTTCCGTCATAATAAAATAACTTCAATAGATATCCGAAGATTTCTTGGATGTCCAAACCAAACTTCAGATTTTTGCTTAAATCTGTGCCTCCTACAAATTATAAGGCAAAACAGACGATGAAAAGAACGACACGGAGAATCTAAAATTGCATTCCACAACGTATCGCTTCATCTAAGCAAGAACCTTGAGTGAATTGGTTTCTTGTACTCAAAAACTAAATAGAGAGGAAGAAAAAAACCGTTATGATTTAATTTCACTTATACTGCCTCTGCATATTCGCTTGAAAACTTTGGTTTAGACATCGAAGAAATCTTCGGATTTCTACTTTTTGGTTTTACAAACTAAGGACTGTATTATCAGAAGAAAGAATGGACAAAATCGAAATAACCAAAATTAAGTAGGATGTCATGGATATCAGCGAAGAGAGAAAAAGAGGTGAGTCTCAGAACCTTGAAAGCAGGTCATGTCATATCAGATAGAAAGCGAACAAACTATTATTAGCCTGGGCATTTTGTACTCAGAACAAATTCGCTCAACAAAATGTCCATCAACAGTATTTTCTCAAGAGTTGCTTAACTAGCCACAACGCAGAATTATCCAACTGTCCACTCTCACTACAAAACTTTTAGACTGGGGGCAAAATTTCGTGAATTTGACGCACTTATTTGATGACGTCAATCTACGAACAAAGCAATGAAATCACTACATTGCTGAAGACATTTAATTCTCTTCAGTGCATTCTCATAGCAAGACAGAATTGAGCTAGTTTTTGCATTAGTAAAATAGTTAGAAGAGTGTTTATTATTTTTCTTTATAACATTCGTTTTTAATACTTTATATTGAATTCAGTATGAAATTAAAATAGGTAATGTTTTTTGGATTTTTTTTTTTCGAGCATACGTATTTTCAAGGTTCTTGAGGTTTTGAAATATGTCTAGCTCTGTAAAAATGGCAAAGCATGTGACCTTAATGATATAAGAACGGAACAAATAAAGAAATTCGACAAAATAATAAAGAAGTGGTTAGTTAAACTAATGCACAATTGCTCATCTGATAAACTGGACAAAAATGATGATAAAATTTAAAGTGGATTGAGGACACAAAAGAGTGGTTTGCCACAAGGAATCGTTTTGGCCACATCTCTATTTAATATAAATACGAACGATCAACTCTCACTAGTAGGCATACAGGACTTTATATACGCGGACGATTGTGCCATTACAGTCCAGGCCGATTTCGAAACTATTGAATAAAAATTATTTGAAGCCTCCATAAATATTAGTGCCTACTACAAGATCAATCATCTAAAAAATCTTTCTTTCATATAAAAAATAAACAGGCAACAAGAAAACTCCAGATTGGAGTCAGAGGGGACATTCTCGGAATATTGCCCTACACCAAAATATTTATGCGTAACCTGGACTGAGCTCTTAAATACAACAGACACTGTTATTACACAAAACAGAAAGTTGCGGTCAGAAAAAACAATGTGAAAACTAAAAGTAAGATACTTTTTAAGGGACACAGCCGCAGGTCTGCGCCTGGGTGTACTGTTTGGCCGGGATTGCACCGCCCAACATTAGACGTGAAGTAGCAGCTCGGAAGAAAAAACATAGCATCTACCTTTCACGTACACCCTCCCTATGGCTATTAACTCACACGCCAACGCCTTAAATTCAGAAAAAGTTTTCTGCATACAATCTAAGATCTGACTAAGCCAGCCCTTGTATAAGGCTCATAGTGATAACAGTTATGATGGATGATGCTCTCCAAGACCTCTCACCCAGATGCAAAGAGAGATTAGCGACAGAAAAAGCGCTCAATATACTTCGTGCTAGGTCGACAAAATTCAGAGACAACCAAATAAAATCTAAGTTGTGGAGAAGAGCTAACTACAGAACATCTTCTGGTTTGTCCTTGATGCGCAATGGAGGACCTGGTTGATCGAGCGTGATCGGAACAAAATTGATGAAGTTATAGGCATTTAGAAATGAGTGAGTGAGCTAAATAAATGAGGTGAGTGAGTGAGTAAGGTAAGTGAGCTTGATGAGTGATTAAGTGTCAAGTTCTCATAATTCTACACTTGCGACAATAACAATCGAATTACTAGAGCGGATAAAATGGCTCCAGATGCAACAAAAAAAGGCAGAGTTCGTCGAAAGTAGGAACAAAAAGATGTAGATATTTTAGCAGGAAGCGCGTCGCTATATGGATATAGAATAGACGATACTCTGTGAGTATAAAAAATAATCTTTTTTTAAATGTGTTTTTCTCAGAATAATTTTTTACAAGTCGGTATTCATTGTATAGATAAATTACTAGGTCGCCACGTCAAGATATTGTTCATTTTGTTGTTATAATTAAGTTTACACAACGTCAATTTTTAACAAATTTTTTTTCGAAAATTCAAAAAAATTTGTTTTTTTTTGCTTCTAAAAAATGATAAAATGAACAATATATCAACTGAAACCAAACTCATAAAGTAACGATTTTTTGTTGTTCTTTGTCAACAGATAATCCAGTTATCAGTTACAATAAACACCGCAAAATAACTTTTTTTTTATCTTTGAAAATTAGCTGTCATTTTATACTTTTTAATATTTTTGTACCACAATTTCAGATAATACTCTTGAATAATTGTTCGACTATAATGAAATAAATAAATTTGCATTAAACAATTAAAAAAAAAATCTTAAACGTAAATCTACACAATATACTGAAAACTAAATTGAAATCATCTCTGACAATATTTTGCGAGGCATTGTGTGATGCACCCGTACAATCTTATGTGGCGATTTTGATATAAAAATTTGAGTGAAAACACATAATTCAGAAACAGCATTAGAAAAGCTAAGAGTTCAGAAAGAAACAATTAAGGCAAAGAAGATTAAATGGATAAAAATTATGGAAAAGGGATCAAATAGGAAAAATTATTAGAATTTCTGCTATCTTCCTCTATAAAAAATTCCGAGAAAATAGATGCGGGTAAATCCAGACAGAAACACAAAAAATGAGAATGACCTCATATACAGTTATAAAAAAGTACTTAGGATGTCACAATTATAAACATATTTTCAACAGACAGTGATCATAGAGTGGTAGGTGTTAAAATTAATCGCGGCAAAGAAAGATTGGAAAGGAAGAAATTAATTTCCACATTTGGAAGAAATAATTATGCAAATTTCTGCATTAAGTCACGTTAATATGTTGATAAAAATTGAAGAGACTGATATGTTTTTGTACTCACTTATGACAAATGAAAGAATGGAAAAAAGAATATTTTTAAAGTGTGTTAAAAATTTTTCAATTCATAGCTGTGCTCTTTAGGCATACAAAGGAATCCTCAGATTTGCTCTATATTTTGATAAATGCAGGCATTTGGACTTACTCATTGATTATTATGATCATTGGGCATTTTTCAACTTGTCTTCCAAGGTCTAGTTTAAAAACCGAGTGATATGTCGCAAAAATGACCATTATCCCCAAAAAATGTTACCATTTCATATTTTTTATAAATAAAATAATAAGTATACAAAACAATTGAGTTATCTTTTATTAAATAACATATACATTTCCATAACAATCTCTACAAGGTACAAATAAATACAAAAATCCTATTCCCTACTCAATTTCTTCTAAACTAGCTTTGGTTAATACTGGTGAAGCTTTACCACCTCTGTGAGTGAAGGTATAGAAGGAAGGAATGTTCCTAAAAGTTTCCCAGGACCTGTTTTCCAATTCAGCTGAGGCTTTGATCTCCTTAAACTCTCCAGCGATGCTCAGAACTCCGTACATGATGACAAAGAGGCTGACCAAGGCTTGAATAAAGATCTACAATAAAAACAATATTGATTACTTGCGCCAAATATAGGCAATTTACAAATCATCGTTGCAGTGTTGCCTGAGTTTGTTTATTTCTTTACACTAACAAAATTTTACCCAGCGGGAAACAAATATTAAGATAAAATCAAACAAAAAGTTTATTAAAATTTTTTCAAAAAACACTATGCACTCATACGTGGTCGTGGATTGTATAATTCGCAATGTCAACAATCATGATCGAATTCTACAAGAATAACTTATAAAGTGAGAAAACATGCACACGAGATGTTGCAACCAAATTTCTCTTAAATCCACAGTAATAAATCAGCAAATACTTACATCTAAAGGTAAATGTGTAAAATCTAAGTCATTTAAACGAAGATATGATCGATCTGAAAGAAAACAATGAATATTTAATAACATTGAAAAATGCAGAGCAATTTTTCTACTTACGTTGAGCAGCTGAATACGCAGAATGAAACAGTGATAGGAATCCCACAGAAAGGATTATTCTATGAATAAATGAGGCAGACATTTTTCTAATTAGTCTAATTTTGAGCTTAAAAATAAAATTACAGGATAGTCTTTTTTGCTAACCTCATTCTATTTACTGCAAATGCAAGGTGACAGATGACATGACATGACGTTCTCTTTAAGCACTTTCAGAGATATTAAGTACTCTGAGCACTTTAGAACCATAGAACAGACCAATCAACGATTATCAAATCGATAGTTATTAGTAAAAATCGAAATGTATTCGAGTGATACTGAAATCTAGAGTTGCTTGTGACATCTAGGGAGTAACAGATCAGATATTGGGTTAACAAGTGTAGTTCAAGAGAACGGTTAAAGTAGGTAAAGGAATCTACAGAAAACGGAAAAACAATAATTCAATATAAAAATGAAAGCCCAAAAAATAATTTTCTCTTCAATATGTTTTGAAAAAATTTAGTAACAAAAGGAGCATTTTGACAAAAATAAATGTTTATTGTCTCTTGAATAGGATATATATTTATAGCTTAGAATCATAAGCATTTAGAGTATTTGAATTTATTAATTTTCTGCATCCCAAAAATATTTCATTAAAGATAACGGGGACAACTTTTTTTTCAACAATGTAGGTATATGAAACTATATCTATGATATTACGTTTCTCCTCGATTATTGTCACCGACATTCCACTCTGAAATGATTAATTTACCATTCATATAAAAACGAAAGCAATCAACGTTCCGCTTGTAACAATTAAGAATTTATAAAAGATATAAATTCATTTAAAATGGATATATGTATAACGAGAAACGAGTTGAATTGCGTGATTTCGAATGTCATGCTTTGACGTGCGGAGAAATTGCATTGGGAGGCACTTACATTAATTATGTAATTATCGAAGCATAAGGAGAAAGATACAGCTGTGGATATTATCTTCCTAATATAATCTATTGAATAATAGTATAGAACAGATTAAAAATAAATTTTACAAGTTTCAACACTAAATAATCATTTGCGCACAATTACTTTTAAAAATATTATAGATAGGTATGTATGTACTAAAAAGTTTTAAATTATTTGTTTTGATGCGTTATTCATGTATAATAAAAAAATACCGACAATAGTTCTGTTTATCCACGTTGACCGATAAGCCGAAAAGCCAAAAGACGGTTGTCACATTTATTCAATATAACATAAATTGAGTAGTTCTATGTGGTCATAAAAGTTTTTGAAGTGAAAACTTGCATAGATAGGCTTGAGAAAATACTTTTTTGGATTCGGCAAAAAATCTCAAATTAGTGTCAGCATAAAATAGGTTATTAATGTTATTTAAGTTGTAGGGGAAAGGGGGGAATAGTGGCCATACTGGGGTAATGGTAGCCACATCGAGCAAAAAGACAATGCTCGATAGATAGCTATGAAATATTTACATTTACGGCCTAATATTATTTCGCGTTTAATATCTGTTGCGCTATCAAACAGTGTTTCGTTCAAACTGTACCTAAAACAATGACGATGTTTTGCCGGCAAAGAAGGAATTTTTGAAAATGTCATATTTTGTTGGAGTTGATGTATTAGTGCAAGATTTTTAAAGGTATGTAGAAGTATGTAATTAAGTTTATTTAGCTGCATAATTGGTACCCATTTGTTAAATTTTTAACGTAGTTTAAGACTATATAAAAAGTTCTTGCTCTAATTTAAGTGATTAATGATTATGAGTCGATCAGTATAAATATGTATTTTGGGGTTATAATAGCCACGCGCCTGGAGGTAATGCTGGCCGGCCACTATTACCCCCAAATTGTATTTATATAATACAGAGTATTTCTTTATAAATTCTTATATTTCAGATGCCTCGAGTTTACAAGAGAAAAAGTGACAAAGCACGATGGAATGCTGAGCAACTTAGTGCAGCAATAAATGCAGTAAATAATGGCAGAAGCGTCCGTGAAGTTGCAAGAAGTTTTGCAATTCCCAGATCTACAATTCAACTACGACTAAAGCGAAATGATACAACAGCTGCTTCTTTAGGTCGTAATTCTGTATTTACCAAAGAAGAAGAAGAAGTTTTGACAAAGCAGGTCATAAAGTTATCAAAACATTTTTATGGGATAACTCCCACAGAAATAAAAAAATGTGCTATAAATACGCTGAAGAAAAAAATTTACATCATCCATTTTCCAAAGAAAAAGAAATAATTGCTGGAAGAGCTTGACGCTTCCTTAAAAGAAAATCCAACTAAACTTCATCTAATTTACATACCGATGCACGTCATCGGCGTCATAGCCCGTGACGTCACATGATACCAACACGAAATATTTAGGCGGTAGGTGTGTTCTTTTTTAGAATCACTTTGCCGAGTACACTGGCATTACAGCCACTAGACATATTTTATTATATACGCGTAGAAATAATATTTAAAGATTTCTATTAATGTTAACTTAAAGAAATACACAATAATATGTTTCATTTAATTTGTATAAATGCATTATAAAGCGTTTTTATGAAGAACATTTGTTCGGAACACACTGTAACTGTAATCGAACGAAGGTGAAATTTTGGCATAAATTGGTAACACTTATTTGACAGTTGCGGTGTTGACACTTTTTGTACTTTATTATTTTGAATTTTAAAGTGAATACCTCTTGTTTTATATTTTTACCTATTTAATAAAATCTGTTCTTTTTAGAACAAAATTAGTGTGTTTTATTTAAAAAATGTCACGTAAGAATTTAAATAGTCGTTGTAAAGAGATGGTAATACTTTTGCAATAATTATGTGATCTATTTGATTTAAAATGGAGTCAGGATTTTTTTATACTTTGGCAACTATGTCAACTTCGATCTCTGACGTGCATCGTTATGTAAATTAGATCAAGTATATTAGATTAAGAAAACCGGAGGCAACAAGTATTAACCGCATATCTGCATTTAATAAAACTGAAGTATTTTTCTCTAATTTAAAGTCCATATTGGATAAATATAAATTTTTGGCATCCACAATATATATGCAGACGAGACAGGCATAAAAACCGTTCAAAACCCCGGAAAAATACTTGTTGAAAAGGGACAAAAGAGAGTCGGTTTTATTACAAGCGCAGAAAGAGGTCAAACAACAACCATTATGTGCTGCATAAGTGCTTAGGAAGATATATTCCACCTTTGTTTAATTATGCCCGCAAAAGGATGAAACCAGAGTTAAAGAAAAAATCGGCCACAGTTTTGTTAATCGTCGACAATCAAGTGGCCACTGTACAGTAGAGACATATTTCTGTAAAGAACGCACAGTAAAAGTTAAAAAAACATCATACCTAGGCCACATACTGAGAAATTATATGCCCAACTTTTAGTGAAAGGAAAAATCGAGGAAAGAGAGGCCTAGAAGTAAAGTATATCGTGCTCAGAAACATCCGAAATGGACAGGGCTAAATTTTGAACAGCTAATAAGAACAGCTGAAGATAGAGAAGAGTTTAAAATTGTAGTAGCCAACCTCCATTGAGGACAGGACACTTTAAGAAGAAGAAGAAAGCACGAGGAATTATGTTAACCATACCCCGCACAGATCGCATCGACTCCAACCGCTGGATGTAGCTTTTTACTCATCGTTAAAATCAGCGTATAACATTGAATGTGGCAATTATCTTCGAAGTCATCCTCATGAGCGTATCACGACATTTGAAATAGCTGAAATATTTAAAAATTCATACGGTCGCGTAGCCACACCAGTCAAAGCCATTAAAGGTTTTGAGAATACAGGAATATTTCCATATAATCCTGAAAATTTTACCGATGAAGACTTTGCTCCAGGTGAATCATTCATACAAGAAAAAGATAAAAAGACACTAGACCAAGAGAAAAAAAGTGGATTAGATAAGGAGAAGAATAATAAGGAAGTTAAGGGGAATAAAGAAAGTTCGACACATGACAAAAAGTTTGAAGTATCTTTTGTTGACATAATTCCACTACCAGGATGCTCAAAAGATGACTCAGTTGGAAATAAAAGATCCAACCACAAAAGCAACAGGAAGCAACATTCCGAAATAATGACATCAACACCAATGAAGTTACTTCTAGAAGAAAAACAGCGGAAGAAGGAAGAGCAAATGAGAAATAAAGCCAGCAAAGGAACCAAACGAAAAATAGGCATCGATGAGTCCAGTCCTCCGCGAATAGTTCAAAAAGAAATTGTATAAGAACACAGAAGATATATCATTTGAAGATGAGGATGTTTCTAATAATGTGTCCAATCCTCGGGATCTATGGGATTTAGAATCACTTTCTCGTTAGTCGGCTTCTTAACAGAGTTTATAAACTTCCACGCCTCAGTGCATTGTCGTCCTCCAATATAGGATTCTATCTCTCTGCACCTTCTGTCCCATATCTCATTTTTGGAGGTCATAATTATCTTTTTAGTTTTCTTCTTCATTTCATTGTATCGGTCTTTGTCTGCGTCATCTTTTGTATTCAACCACTTATGGTATAATCTTTTCTTTTCTGTTACCCGCATTTTCGACGTCTTCATTCCACCAAAGCTTGTTACTAATTTTATTTTGTTTGATTCCTAAGACCTCCTGTGGTGTTTGATGAATACTTGATATTATGTTCTCATATATGCATTTGGTATTTGTTAGTGTTTAGTTTGGAGTCCATTCGAGTCTTATATAGTTGCATTGTTGTGGCGCTTGTTTCCTGTTCTTCCATTAAAATCGTCTAATACAAATATTTTTCGGTTATTTCCAACTCTAGTAATAACTTCGTTTAATTTTGCAAAGAATTCGTCTTTTGTGGTTACATTCTCATCCTCTGAGGGGCAAAGATTGCTAGTATTGTTGTTTTTTTATGGTGTGGGTCATATTTACTTGCAGGATATTTTCATCTATTGCAGTCCAGCTGGTAATTTTCCTTTTAAACTTTTTGTTAATAATTACGGATACTCCTCTCTTAGCTCTTTCTTCCTTTGGTACGCCGCTATACAGGTGTATGTAGTCTCCTATCATTACTGATCCAACGCCCTTCTTCTTTGTTTCAGTGAGGGTCACTATGTTGAGGCCAAGTTGTTTTACTTCTTTGATGATCTCTTCAGTTTTACCCCTTATTCCTTGTACATTCCATGTACCTATCATCATGGTCCTTTTTCGAAGCCGTTTTCGTCTTTGTTTAGATCCGTCTATATTTCCGAGGCTTGGTTTGGGATTTTTAGCAGTAGTTTTTTTTTCTAGATATTAAGGAGCTAGCTCAATGATCCAACCCCCAACCTGGAGGGCCAGGAAATTTGTCTTAAGGTTTTCATCCTTTAGATTGACTGTCTTTCTGGACTTCAGAGATCAATCTTCCCCTCGATTTTATACAAGCCCTAAAACCATTGGGCTGCCACCTCCGCCTTTCAGACCGTTGTGAAGATCTTCTTCTCCGCCCTGGATGCCGTTGTGGGCTTCATCCGTGACCCTGGACAAGGGATCCTTAGCAGGTACTAGTTTCCCGGGTCAGGAAACACCTGGAATCTGCGGAAGGCAGGGATTGATTCACTTTCCCTGATAGGACTATCCAAAAGGAGTTCCTATCCGCTACCTTATATTTATTGTTATTTACTTTAAATCACTTGGAAAACAATGAACACACTAGCTTAACCGACGAACCTAACTCTAAGCTGCGTGTATTAGATCAACGTCTATCAGCTGTTTATATGGACTTTACCCTTTTAGGACCTGTCTGATGAAGACTTGCCCTCTATTAGCGGTGTATGCGTAAATTATAATTAGCATTTCACGAGAACTAGGCGCTTTTACGACGTCTAACAAGCCGCTGACAAGATGGCACCATTAGATCGATTTATGAAAAATTGCGACTTGCCCCTGTACCCTTTATTTGTAAATTTAATTATTCTTTTGACTTCCTTTGGGGAGGTATGTGTAGTACCTATGTCGCCCCTACTTCTTTTTAGAATTCTGTAACTTCTTTCGACTTCTTCAGAGAATTCTATGTCTTCGTCTGGATGATAGTTATTCCTACATCCTCTTTCTAGTATCATCATCATCATAAGTCACTCGACAATCCGTTGTAGATCTTGGCCTGCTCACAAAGAAGTCGCCACTCCTGTCGATTCCTGGCAACTTCCCTCCATCTTCTAACCCTTAGAATCTGTAGGTCTTCTTCCACATCATCAATCCATCTCATTCGTGGTCGTCCTCTGCTTCTTGTGCCCTCTGGTTTTGAAAATGTTAATCTCTTCGTGTATTCGTGATCTGACATCCTAGCAATGTGTCCAGCCCATCTAAGTCTCTGCACTTTAACGAATTTCACAATATCTGGATCGGTGTATAACTGATATAGTTCAAAGTTGTATCTTCGACGCCATAGCCATTTTCATTTACGGCCCCAAAAATCTTTCTAAGAATTTTTCTATCGTATCTTTCCAAAAATCTTTCTAGCGTATTTTTGATTATTTCCGATTTATCTTCTTTTGTCTCTTTTCAGAAGTCACGATTTACCACTTGCTACCAAAATCTCTCTCATTAGATGCTATGTATTTTCTACGTTATTATATGGAGTAGAGGCCTGGACACTTTCCGAAGCTTCTTTAAGAAAACTCGAGGCATTCGAGATGTGGTGTTACAGACGTATTTTAAGAATTTCATGGGTGGATCGTGTGACTAATGTTGAGGTCCTACGTAGAATAGGCAAGGAATGCGAGATTATTAACACCATCAAAGAGCGCAAACTAGAATATCTTGGCCATGTTATGAGGAATGAACAGAGATACGGCTTGTTGCAACTCATTCTTCAGGGCAAGGTATTTGGAAAGAGAGGACCAGGGAGAAGAAGAATATCTTGGCTTCAAAACCTGAGAAAGTGGTTTAATACATCGACAACCGGACTATTCAGAATAGCAGCAAGCAAAGTTAGGATAGCCATGTTGATCGCCAACATCCGGAACGGATAGGCACCGTAAGAAGAAGAAGATCTTCTTCTGTGTACATAATTCCATTTTCTACATATTTTCTACATGTAAAGGTGGAATTGGTTTTTTGCCTTTTCTTAAAACTTTTAAGCTGCTCGACTAAAATGACGAAACTCGTTAACGGATATTGTACGATAAATTGAATTTAAGAAGGAATTGGCAGAAATGTGACCATACTGGTTTTAAATTGTACCCGCACTATGCTAATTCCTTTTTAGATTCAAAAACTATTTATTGGATAAAGCGTTGTACCCTGTATACTTTTTTTAGATAAGGCAACTGGATATTACGGATGTGAGGATATTAACTAAGTAAGTATTTGTCCTGTATTTACGAATATGTAAATATGTTTTGTACTCCACATTTATAACTTACTTTCATATATGTATGGTTCAAAAGGTTAATAAATTATTTTTCTATACTTTATTTAATAGTATTGTCTCGATTACCAGTATGATTATATCATTCGCATATCCTATTATTTGCATGACATTCTTATTTACCATTCGTGACGTAGATACAAGACAAATGAATATCCCCTCATATAAAACATATTACCATTCCTAATAGTTTTAATTGTCGCTACATACTCCAATTTAGTAGAATTAATATACAATTAAACCCGAGCTAATGGTACTGCTGGTTACAAAAATCCACAAAGTACCCCCATTACCGGACCTAGTTTATAAAAGAGAGTAGAAGTGTGCGAAGAACTCCAAGTTACTATCACTCTCTTCGACCATTCCAACGGTTCTAGTAGTGGTTCTACGAAGAAGTGGCGCGTTATCCGTGATCTACACTATCGTACCGAGGAGTACCAGTTTTTTTAGCGAGAAAGGATTGCTAGGTGGAGGAGAAGATGCGGATTTTCATTGCGGTGAGTACTGACGGGGTGCTAAAGGGGTATAAGGGATGGAACTATATGATTACGATTAATTTGACAGATAATTAATATTTAATAGGAAATGTCTAGATATTATTCTTTAAAAATTTACTATTTTCAAATGAAAATTTTAAATAAACCTTTTGAATAATTTTCTCTTTCTTTCTACTCTTATAATAGACAATTATATCTTTTATTATATTATGTTTCTAACTATATTTTGCTGTTGCATTTTTTGGTTTGTAGATCATTCGTCTGATATTTTCACTTATGTATTCTTTGGAAATTGCTTGTTCTTATTCGATTCTGACTTATCCTACCACATTCACCTTTATCGTTTTATGACAAAATTCCATTTTGTCGTTTTCACTACCCTCGTTTTGAGCTCCTTTGATTTCTATTGTTCTTCTCATATGTCCTCCTCTCTCTATACAGGGTGTTTTAAAAAGGTAAGTCATAAATTAAATCACGCATTCCGGGGACAAAATAAATTGATTGAATCCAACTTACTTTAGTACAAAAGTGTACACAAAAAAGTTACAGCCATTTGAAGTTACAAAATAAAAATTGTTTTTTTGCATTATCTCCTAAACTACTTGACATTTTGTAATAAAAATGGACACGTTACTTTCTTGTTCTGAAAGCATTTTTCATAAAAAGAAACAACAAAATCTAAGCGCACAGAAAAATTTTAAGGGGGTGTGCAGCCCTAAATCCCCCAAACTTTTGAGTACGTTCAAATCAAATGAATTTTGTGGCATCATTAGTTTAACACATTATTTTTAAAAATTTTTGCCTCTTATCACTTTTTTCAAAAAACAGTTTTTATTGAGTTACGGCCCTTTTCATTAACCTTTAAAAAATTACGTGCAACTAAATAAATGGCTTAAATGAATTAACAAGTACAAAAAATGTCTATAACCTCTATAAATATGATATTACAATAAATGTTCAAAATGACCCCCATTTTCTTCAATACACATTCGGTATCGTTTAATAAGGAAAACCGAATGCGCTGAAAAATCATATTTTTCTGACGAAATTGATTTGCAGCTTCAATTATTCTAACCCTCAATTGTTGTTCGTCCTCTATTGTTACAGAATACACTTTCTCTTTCATAAACCCCAAAAGCAAAAGTCCATGGGGTTAAGACCTGGACTTCTGGGTGGCCAAGAAATAGGTGCGTCACGACCCCTTCCAATCCACCGACCAGGATACTGCCTGCAAAGGTATTCCCGGACTTCATTACTGTAATGCGGTGGAGCGCCATCTTGTAGAAACCACATATTTTGCCTTATTGCAATATTCACTTCTTCCAAATACTCTTGTAAATCGTTTGCCAAGAACTGCAAATAATTATCACCATTTAAATTGTTGGGAAGAAATACTGGGCCTATTAGATTGTTATCCACAATTCCTGCCCAAACATTAACTTTGAAAGTCCTTTGGTGATGAGTCGTTTTTTTGGCGTGAGGATTTTCGTCGGCCCAAATGTGCTCGTTATGATGGTTTGTTATTCCATTTCTACTGAAGGTAGCCTCGTCGGTAAACAAAATATTTCTAATAAAATTAACATTTCGAGTGTTTTCCATTAACAACCAATCGCAAAATTCAATCCTTCTAGGATAATCTTCAACCAATAACTCTTGAACCGTTGTTAAATGATAGTACTTTCGTACTTCCCGTCATCGTCACGATTATATTTCTTGCAGTCACAGGGTTCATATCTATTTCTTTATTCATTCTGGTTCTCTCCACTGTACATCTATTATACTCCAGCATTGTGTAAGTAACAATGTCGGAATATTCGCAGTATAGACATTTATCTGTATCTGTCTTTCTGAACCTATGAAGATATGCTCTAAAACAGACAATCTACCCAGTCCCGTAGGCTCTGGATCAGCATATTGGTCCACTAGGCAACATCTTCCTTGTTGTTCCTCTCTTAAAATTATTGTAAATCTATTAGTAGTACTCATTTTTTGTCTTTTATGTGTCCTTGCTGTCTATTTCGACCCATTCCAGTCACTTCTCTAATTTTTTTGTGCATATTTCTCATATCATATTTTGTTTCTAGTTCTTCTATCTCTTTACATTGCTTCACCAAATAGATTTCATTAGCTGTTTTGATTTTTTCCTTACGTTTTCCTAACTCCCAGGTTCCAGCTCTGTGGTGGTCTTCCTCGTTTCCTCTTCTCTGGGGGTTGCCACATCATCGTTTTTTTAGGCAATCTTTCGTCCCCCATTCGGCTCACATGCCCATACCATATGAGCTGTTTTCTCTCAATATCCTCAACTATAGTGCCCTCTATACCCATTTGTTGTTTTATCACTTCATTCCGTATTCTGTCGGCTCTTGATATTCTCATCGATCTTCTGATGGCATCCATTTCCGTGGCTTCGACCTTTTTCTTATATTTCTCGGTTATTCTCCATGTCTCAGCTCCATAAAGTAGGCTAGTTTTAACCATTGTCTCATAGATGTTCCATTTTCTTTTCTTTGATATTTCTTTACTCCATAGAACTCCGTTCAAACATGCTATAGCTCTTCGTGCTTGTACAATTCGATGTTCTATTTCTCGTTCGTCTTTTCCACTACGGTCGAAGATGACGCCCAGGTATTTATATTCGTCACATGGATTTATTTTTTGATTGTCATCGATATCGAGTTGTTCTGCTTCAGCTCCAATTGAGAGGTATTTTGTCTTTTCTAAATTGATATTTAATCCCCATTTCTGGTATTCTTCAATTAGTTTTCTAAGCATGTATTCCATGTCGTCTTTGTCATTTGAGATCACCACCTGATCATCTGCAAACTGTAAAGTATATATGTAATCCTGATCGTTCAATTGTATACCCATTCCTTTGACTTTCCTTTTCCATTGTTTCAGAGCTGCAGAGATATAAATCTTAAATAGAGTCGGAGAGATACAACATCCTTGTCTGAGACCCTTAGTAACTGCAAATTTTTCAGCTAAGAGGTTTCCGAATTTCATTTGGGAGTTTGAACCATAATATAGATCTTTGAGAGCACTAACCAATGTTTGATGTATGTTTGATGTGCCCAGGACTTCCCATAGTTTATTTAGCGGGACTGTGTCATATGCCTTCTCAAGATCTACAAAAGTCATATGTAACTCTCTATTTGTCACAATTTTCTTTTCTATAATTTGTTTAAGACAGAAGATGTTATCTGTACATGAACGACCTGCTCTAAATCCTCCTTGTTCTTCGTCTTCAGACGATTGATAATCTTCCTCTATCAGGTCCCGTAGTATTCGACCGTATAGTCGACTCATTGAACTTGTGACCGATATCCCTCTATAGTTTTTACAATTTCTCCTGTCACCTTTTTTATATATTGGGGTCATATATGCTGTTTTCCATTCATCTGGTGTTGGATGTCCATTAATATATTCGTTAAATATCACCGTGATCATTCTGTGTAATTTCTCTGAGCCATTCTTTATTAATTCCGTAGTTACTCCCTCTGGTCCACTTGCTTTCCCATTCTTCATCCCTGCTATAGCTTTTTGAACTATGTTGATATCTATGGTAATATGCTCTCCCAGAATTTCGATTCTTGATGAATTCATATCTTCTTTAAATTCGTCTCTGTTCTCATTTAATAGATGTTTGTAATAATGTGTCCAATCCTCGGGATTTATGGGATTTAGAATCACTTTCTCGTTAGTCGGCTTCTTAACAGAGTTTATAAACTTCCACGCCTCAGTGCATTGTCGTCCTCCAATATAAGATTCTATCTCTCTGCACCTTCTGTCCCATGTCTCATTTTTGGAGGTCATAATTATCTTTCTAGTTTTCTTCTTCATTTCATTGTATCGGTCTTTGTCTGCGTCATCTTTTGTATTCAACCACTTATGGTATAATCTTTTCTTTTTCTGTTACATGCATTTTCGACGTCTTCATTCCACCAAAACTTGTTACTAATTTTATTTTGTTTGATACTAGGCATATTATGCTTTTTATATTATACCATTTTTTATTTAAATCCATAATTTGTTTGTTTTCAGTTAGTGTTTTTTGCATAGTAACATTCACATTATTTTTTAATTCGTTTTTTATTTCTTCGTTTTGTAGCATTCTTACATTAAGTTTTGGTTGTTGTTTTTTGACTTCAATTCTTTTTTTTTATTTTATTTTTACGCCAGCCACTAACGGATTGTGGTCTGAGTTAACATCTGCTCCAGGATAAGTTTTAACTAAGGTTATAGAGTTTTTATATCTGCTATTTACGAGTATAAAGTCTATCTGGTTTCTTACAATGTGGTTTTCTGTATTTGAAGGAGACGTCCATGTATATAGTCTTCTTTTAGGAAGCTGAAACCAAGTATTGGCAATTACCATATTCTTTTCTTGGCAGAATTCTATGAGCCCTTTCTTCTCTCTCGTTTCTAGTTCCTAGTCCGAACTGGCCAACTATATTTTCAATTGTACCTTGCCTAGATAACTTAGAATGTTTGAAGATATGTAAAGGTCATAAGTTCTTTCAGGTTATTTCGTACATTTCAGGTCATTTAAGTTTTCTCATCTAGTTAACCTTTATTCTTAATTTTAGATACTTTTTTTCCTATCAGGTCTCTTAGAAATGCATTAACTACTTTTCATTATTGTTTGGCTAATTCAAATTGTATATTACCATCATTTATTATATCTTCTTTTTACATTAAAGAATTTAACAAATTGCTAGAAACAGGTGAAATAAAGTACAATAAAGGAACGAAAACTATAGAAAAGTAACATTTTGCAACTCTATAAATGCTAGTTCAACAATTATTGTCTTGAACTTTTTCGTATTTTCTATCAAAGCACTATTGAAATGTCTCTCATCTTGTTAATAACCTATGATTTACGCAGCTTCTGTTAATTGGATAGATATTTCTTGAAGCGTAGATATAATAATCACAGCCGCATCAAAGAAACAGAATCTTTTTGCAAGGACGACGTGTAAATAGTGCCCCGGGCAGCTCAT